GCCGAGCCAGGAGATTTCTTTGAATTGAATCTTTTTCTAGACAAACTAATCTCTCCTTCTCTGGGCATTTCCTAATTGAGAACATTTTGTATTTCAAGTTGCGTGTTAATAGAATATCCGACTGTTATTAACTGTACAGTGGTTAATCCATGGAGGCTGAGTTGGTTGGTCTTATTTGTAATAATTCCACATAGTGGGGTAGTGCCTCTGTGTCCCCTGCACTGGGAATAGAAATGTGGGAAAACAAAGACTGAAGAAGCACAGTTGCTTCTCATAAAGAATCCAGAGTTCTAGGTGATCAGAAAGTGAACAGCTCTGGCCGGTGAGATGAGGCCAGGAAGGTGGGGAGCAACCCCGTGGGGATGAGATTGACAGTGTGGCTGTGAGGCATGGCTCCCGCTGGAGACCCAGCGTTGGGGCCTTGGCCTCCTTCCCCTCCGATTGCCTTTCTGCATGTCCTCATGTACATGGCTGACACAGAGGGTGCACGTTCCACTCCAAGCCGGCTCTGCCCAGCCTTGCCCCACTCAGCTCATGGCAACTCTGACTTCCAGGTACCCAGGCCCTATGCCTGGAACTTCCCTTTGTTCTGTTCTTTCTCTCAGATCCTGTGTTCATACAAGTGACACATCCTGGTGGCTGTGCCCTCTGCCTCTCCCTGACGCCCTCCCTGGACTGGGTCACTGCCAGCACACCTGTGTTCACTGGCCTCTGTGCTCCTGCCCCAGCCACCACTCATGGTCTGTTCTTTCTCTTGTTTTTGAGACAGAGCCTCAAGCTGTTGCCCTGGGTAGAGTGCTGTGGCATTAAAGCTCACAGCAACCTCCAACTCCTGGGCTTAAGTGATTCTTTTGCCTTGGCCTCCCAAGTAGCTGGGACCACAGGTGCCCAGCACAACGCTCGGCTATTTTTTGGTTGTAGTTGTCATTGTTTGGCAGGCCCGGGCTGGATTCGAACCCACCAGCTCTGGTTTATGTGGCTGGCACCTTAGCCTCTTGAGCTACAGGCGTGAGCCTCATGGTCAACACACCAGTCTAAGGAACCTTACAAACCTAGGTCACATCATGGGATTCTTCTGCTCTAAACCTCCATGGTCCTCCACATAAAAGGTCCTTACAGTGGCATTCAAGGCATAACATGACCCTGTTCCCTGCCAGCTCCCAGGCCTCACCTACTCTTAGTCCTCACTCTCTCACCATTCTCCAGTTATCCTGACCTCCATCCGTACTCAGAGCCTGGCCTGGCTGGGTCCTCTGCAGGCCTCCCCTCACATGCCGGCAGGACTGCTCCCTTCCTCTTTCAGTTTCTTGCTGAAGCCATTGCTGACCACCCTACACCCTGCCTCTCCATGCCCCAGTGCCCCCCTGACACACACCAGTGTCCTGCATGAGGACAGGACAGCTGTATCTGCAGCTCCTAGGAGAGCACCTGGCCCAGAGTCAGTGCCCACTGATTATTTGTGAAGTAGCACTGGGGTGTGGGCAAGGAGGGGAGCAAAGAGCACAGGTAGTTGGTGTCAGGTTGCGCGGGCTCTGAGAAGGATTTTAGGCTAGGGAATGACAGATTCTGGTTTGCACGGTGCACATTTGCCTCTCACGAGAGTCTGGAGAAGGATTAGAACAGGTGCAGCTGGGGAGAGCTTGCTAGCCTGGTCATCAAGGAGGAGGGCCAAGGACCTGCACGGAAGCTTCTGGATGGTGAACCTACCCTCTCAGTAACTGTAACTGCTTCCCCTCTGTCCTCTTCATGCCCATCATCTGCACCCCTGCCCCTCACATCCAATGCCTTCTTTTCTGCCTGAAGTCACTGAGGACACCCACACTGCCTCAGGCATTGCCACCCTGCCCTGTGGACTGCGGGGCACACTCCTCAGGACTCCTCCCCCTGGCTGCTGCTTCTGTGCTTAGGTCCTTCACTTCCTCACTCAGGGTCTGGCTTCCTAAGTTCCGGCCTTGAGCTCTTTCTCTCTCTCCTCCCAGACTGTCTCCTGCTGCATTCCCCTGTCACCCGTGCCGGGTCCCTCCCAGTGTCCAGCCCGGGGTTCCTTCTGGGCTGCTTGGCCACATTTCCAAACTCTAACCTATGTGCTCCCAGCCCGGCATCCCTCCCTTCCACCACCACCCCGACTCCTGACCAGGTCGCAGTTTCTGTCCAGGCTTGGAGCATTGTCAGCATTGTCCTGGCTCCTCCCTCTGCTACCTTCCTCCTGTCCCTGGTCACATGAATTGCCCTTTCTGTTCTTAGCCACCAGCAAATCAGGCCTTGGTCACCTCAAGTACAGACCACAGAGCGGTCCCTCCTGGATGCTGCCTGGCCCAGCCTCCCAGAGCACCAGCATGATCTTTCCCACTCTAAACGTCTGTGACAGGTTCCGTGTTGCTGCCTTGCCCAGAGGCCCTCAGTGCACTCGTTCCTTGGAAGGTCCACACTTCCCACTTTGGCATCTCATTCCTCCAGAACATGGTTACGATTTGTTTTCCCATCCTTTATTACCAGTAAAAGCTCTAAACTAGGGCCTGGAACCTCAGAGATATTCTGTCTCCCGGTCACTGAGAATCTTGCATGCCTCTCTATAAAACTCCTGACCTTCAAAAGCATGGATGACAAGCCACCTCCCTGTGAAGCCTGCTCTGATTGCCAGACCCAGACTTGCTTCTTCCCTTCTGTGCTCTGTGCCTCTCCCATACCCGGCTTGTCCTGTTGAAGGGCTCCCCTGCAGGTATCATGTGCTGGAAGGGAGACTCCTGCTCTCCTGATAGCACAGTCCCGCCGCAGTGTGAGTACTGTGGTTTTCTTTTCCTCGTCTTTGCCAAATAGCACGTTCCTTCTGGTGGAATTTTTACCTCATTTATCTGTGAGTCAATTCCCAGTAATTTTTAGTGCACATAGACAGGGCTCAGGAAATAGTCATTAGTAATAAATTAATTTCCCAACCGGAACCCTCATTTCTCTCCTTTTGTACTTTATGTGTTTTTATGACCACAGTGCCCCCTGGTGGAGAGCTGTTGACAGGCCAGGCCGTGGCTGCTCCAATCTGCTGTGCCCAGATTTCCCAGCTGTTGAGAAACATCAGATAAGAGACTCATTTTATGATTTAAAACAAAACTAAACAAAATCTCCCCAATACACATATCAAGAATAATATACACTGTCATAACTAAGATTCTGAGTTTGGAAGTCTGTCTGTCCGTCAGCTCAGATCAACAAAGGGCAGGGCAGGTGCCTGTCAGATCTGTGCCTTCAGCCTCCACTTTTTATGAGACTCAGGTCAGGACTACAATCAGGTAACCTTTGTCCCCTCAGCACTTTTCCTTCTAAATACTGTCCCCTGTGCCTGGAGTCCTTGCAAACTTCTTTTGTGCCTCTCAAATCTCTGCCCTTTGATACTCAGTTCCTATCTCACATATTCTGCAAAACTTCCCCTGGCCAGACCAGCCTAAAGATTTGTTGCTCTAAACTCCCAGAATGATCATCTCGCTTGCACTTTTAAATCAGCACATAGCAAGCTGCCTTATAACACATTTTCCCAAATGTTGTGGAATTTTTTTTTTTTTTTTAACTTTTTGGTCGGGGCCGGGTTTTAGCCTGCCACCTCTGGTATATGGGGCCGGAGCCCTACTCCTTGAGCCACAGGCACTGCTCCAAATGTTGTGGAATTTTTGAAAAAAAAGTACTAATCCTTGGTTTTCATGTATATATATATGCTGTCTTCCTTGTTGGATTTGAGGGGCTCAGTCCACTGACTGATTTGTCCTGAAAAGTAAGATCCACTGACCCAGCCCATGGGCAAGTGGCTAAGGACCTGCCCCTCCTCCGGGGCTTTGTAAATGCCCCAGGGAGATGAGGGAGTGGTGGCTGTTGGTGTGCTCTTGATTCCTTCCTGTCCAGGCAGGGCTCCTACAAGATGCACTTGACCGTGACTTTGGATCCCAATCCATGTGACCTGAGGCCTGAGGCACAGGGATCTGATACAGCCTAAAGCAACAAGTAACCCGCTTTCCACCCCCTCCTTCCTTTCATTGCTCCTCTGCATCCCCACTCCCCCAGGGGTCAAGTGGGATCCGTCAGGGAGGCTTCCTGAAGAAGGTGAGATTCCGTGTGAACCTGTCACCTCAGGTGAAGGAACTGACATATGTAGGTCAGAGGGAGGGAACACGAAGGTGTGTGAATACCCGTCGGCTTCCCAGGACTGAGGTCAAAGTCTGCTGTCTTGGAGGTGAGAGATGTCATTAGGTGTTGAGGCTCCTGTGACGTCTGCACAGTGTGTGTCAAGGCAGGGGCCCAGTCCTGATACGAATTTCTGCTTTGTCCCCTAGGATTCTTGGGATGAGCTTCGTATTGGTGATGTGGAACTGAAAAGAGTGATGGCTTGTACCAGGTAAGGCCCTTCCCAGGCCCTTACAGGGTTGAGTGAGGTCGCTCTGCTTTGCCTCCTGGGTGATACTTTGTGTGTGTGTATCCAGGTGCATTTTAACCACAGTGGACCCGGACACTGGCATCATGAGCAGGAAGGAGCCACTGGAGACGCTGAAGAGGTAGGACTGGGCAGGCAGGGTCACATTCTTGGGTTAGGAGCCTGGGACAGAAGCAATATTTGTTGCTTAATCTTCATAAGAAGAAGCAGTGAAAACACCGCACACCTACAGTTTTGAAGCTAAAGAGGGTCCCCCTGACCAGGTAATGTGGGAAGCGTTCCTGGGTGCTG